CCGGGCATCAAACCTGGCGGGGACAAGCGAGTCGCTCCCGGCACGCGCACGCCAGGCGGGGTAGCCGGCGGCGGCAATGGCGGAGCGCTCGCGGCGGCGCCCAGCCCAGGGGGAACTCCAGGTTGGCTGGGCTCTTGGCTGGCGTCGGGCTTGCGCTCGGCGTCTAGCTTCAAGAGGCCACTAGCGAGGGGTGGGTTCACCCCTTCATCTTTCTCGGCTCGAACCCGCTCCAACTTTCTTTCCCACCTGGCGATGTGCGCCTGGTATTTGGCCCGCTCCTCGGTCCCGCTGCTGCGCATGAGACGCCTGGTGCACTTGATGAGATGCCCCAAGACCACGGTGATGTCCTCGTCGCATCCTGCCGCCACGCTCTGCAGCGCCGAGGCGTCGTCCGATCCTTCTTCGCGAGCGGCAAGGTACAGCCCCAGCATGGCCTCCCCGGTGTTCTCCCCCTCGCGGTCCTTCCCCGCCGGACTGCGGGAAGAGCGCCGAGGGGCTGAGGAGGCCAGATCACCCTCCTCGCCCTGGCCCCACCCGACGCCGAATGGGGGCTTGGGGGAACTGCTGCGGTCAAGCCTCGCCCAATGCTTCTTGAGTTGCGCGTCCAGCTCGTCGGGGGTGGGCTGCGGTACTCCGGGGGCATCACCTGAGGTGCCCGCTGGATGCCGGCACACGAGCAAGTCCCCGCGGGCCCGAAGCTGAGCCCACTGAGGGCGGCCGATACGCTTGGTCTTCCCGCCGACGGGGACCCCGTTCCAAGGACGCAGCTTCTCCCACATGGTGCTGCTCACGACGACGCCGTGCACCCCGATCCCCATTTCCTCGGCCCCGAGTGGTGGGTGATACAAGAGCTCCTCCAGGTAGCCCGCGGGGAGCCTTCCCTGGTCGCTGGCGACGGGGGCGTACTCGATCCCCGCGGTCTTGAGGGTGAAGCAGACGTTCTCCTGGCCTCCCGCCGAGTAGTCTTTGCAGTGCGGCCCCTCCACGTCTACTACAGTCGTGCTGCCATCTCCGGCGGGCCCACCCCCTGGACGGGACTTCCCCAAGAAGATAATCAACTGCGGGCCGGCGGCCCAGTGGACTCGCACACGTAGTACGAGAGGGTCACCTTGCTCGGTCTCCTCGTCGGGGGCGGGGCCGGCGTCTCGCGGGAGGGGCACCCTCGGAGAAGGCGGCGCTTCAAACCTGACACCAACAGATGGACCTCGTGGCGAAGCTGAGGCCTCCCGTCGGTGTTGCCCAGGGGCTGCTTGTCCGCGATGGCCCTCTGGTCCCCGTACCCCGTCTGCGGGGGGAGCTGCGTTGACTGGGACGCCCTGCTCGCGCGCCCGTGGGCTGCGACTGCGAACCGTCCGACGCCGCAAGCCCAGGTTCGAGAAGAATCCGCGGCCCTGGACGGCTGCGGCTGCCTGCACTGCTCGACCTGCTTCTCCACCCAGATGAAGAAGACATAGTGGTACGCCCTCTGCGTTGCCAACTGCCTGGCGGTAGCAAGTCACCTGCGAACATTTATCACGGCACCGAGATGCTCGGTAAACCTGGGCATGATGTGCGCAGAGATGGGCGAACGAATTCCGCCCGTCACTGGGTGGCGGGAGGTCTGAAGCTTGCCCGTCTTCGAAGAGCAGGGTTGTCGGCTCGGCCTCCGCGGCTCCCCTGCAACCGTCGGGCGCCAAGGGGCGGGCGCCGCCACGTAGAACGATACCCACCCGAACAGCTTCACATGGCTTGTCCTCGGCCTCCACCTCCGACTCTGACTCCTGATTCAAAACCTCTGCGATGCCCCCTGCAACGCCTGGCTCCGCAGCGCCCGTCTTGCGACGGCGGCGTCGCCGGCGGCAAAAGGAGCAACCGCAGGAAAGGATGCAGTAAAGGAACACGGTAACTTTCCAGATGCCCCTCCCCAGGTCGGCGACGGTCCGCCAGAGCAGGAAGACGCCCCGGCAGGAGGTGAACCTGGCGTGGGAGCCGATGTCCACGATCGCCTCGGAATCCAAGGCAGCATACTCTTTACAATGAACTTCTCCAGGTTGATCTCTACAAACCAGGTTGCGGCACAGGTGAATGGAACGGCCTTCGAGCGACTCCAGCTTCTGACGGAGTGCGCGCGAGCTGGCCCCCTTCACGCCCAGGTAGTCTATCCAGAGGCCCTTCCGGTCGATCCGCTTGGGCTCCGAGAGGTCGATCTTCAACCGGGCCACGTGGTCGTCGATCTTGATCAGCACGTCGTTAGGTCGCCTCCCAGTCCCACGACCCTTCACCTTCTTGCTGTAGTACTCCGTGGTCGTGGCTGGTCCAGTCTCTGGCCCCATCCAATTGATCTGGGTAAGGGCAGGCGGAGCCGGCGGCAGGTACCTTTCGGCATCTGCATCGCCAGGCTCTCGCCGGCGGCACTTGGTGCACCGCGCCAGTAGACCGATCAGCCAGAGGGCGGCTGCGCAGGGGGCCAGTAGGGCACGACAGATGTGAGTGAGGAAAGCCAGCACCGCCAGGAAAGCCAAGAAGATGAACGTCCATGCCACGGCAGGCCAAGCGGCTCCGAAGACCGCCAGGCCCAGCTTCTCGAGAGCATAGAGGAACCATCCACCATCCTTGGTCAGCCAGCCTGTCTCGGCATGGGTGGAGAAGGCGCTCCCAAGGCTGTCAAGCTTCTCGTAGGCGACCCCGCCCATGCCACTCAGGCGCCAGGCCCAGGTGCCCTCACGGAGTGGCTTCAATCCCAGCGCCCAGACACCCCAGCCGCCCACCCAGGACTCCTCGCTGCCCGGGTCCTTGGTGGGGTCGCTGCCATTGTCGACTCCTCCGGCGGCCTGGGCCGGGGGCGGGGGCGGCGCTCCCGGCGGCCCACTGTCGGGCGGCGCCTGGGGGCTGCCTGCATCCCCACCCTCCTCCTTGTGCTCGCCGATCTCCATGCCGTACTCGGAGTCGTCGTAGTACGGCACGGTGTACCCGAACGGGGCCTCCTGGGCCGCAGCCGGGTGGCCCCAACTGGCGCGGGCGACAGCGGAGCTGAGGGGCCCGCGCCAGTCGTAGGCGGCTGCGCTGGTGACCAGCGCGGCCAGCCCGCGTGCCGCGCCTGCCAGCGCCGGGCGCCGGGCAGCCATGGCACGCACGCTTCCGGGCGCCGCGGGCGCCCAGACCTCCTGAGGTCGGCTCCAGGGCTTTGAGCCCCGAAGGCTTGAGCGGGAGAGAGGAAAAGGGGAAGGGCAAGCAGAGGCAGGAGCAGGGAGAGGAGAAACCCAAGCCGACTGGGGAGGGCGGGGTCCAACCGTTTAGGTCAAACAACTAATTAGCTTTCATCACAACAGCACCCCGTTCAGCAAGCAGTTTGGGGAACAACAGCACCCCGTTCAGCAAGCTGTTTGGGGAAAAACGAACAGCGCGTTGATGCGGGAATGCTTCGACGATTGAAGGATATTGCAAAGGCTCTACGGCCGGCTCCGCTAACCTTGGAAAGAATGTCAAGGAGGAGAGGGGGGAGGAGGAGGAGGAGGAAGAGGAGGAGGAGGAGGAGGACGACGACGACGACGACGAGGAACTAGAGCAGGAAGAAGAGTTGGAGGGCGAGGAGGAGGAGGAGGACGCGGAGGAGGAGGATGACGAGGAGGATGAAGAGAATGAAGAAAAGGAGGAGGACGGTGGGTGCAGTGCCGTCCGGTCTCGCTCGTGATCTTCGGAGGTTTTCACTTGATTCGGGTTCCCCCTCCTCCTTTTCCTCTTTCTCCGTTTTCTAGTCCTCGTTCTCGTTATGCTGCTCCTCCTCCTCCTCTTCCTCCTCCTCCTCCTCCTCGGTTCGTGGGCCATTCTTCGTCGAGTTTCGTCGATTCTCGATATTTTGCAGGTTTCTCTCCGCTTTAGGCCTCCAGGATCTGGTTCAGGGAGCCGTTATGGCGGGCTGTTGGGCCGTCTTGGAGGCCGCCTTGAGCAGTCTTGGGGCCCTCTTTGGCCGTTGCGGGGCCATTTTGGAGACTGTGGGTCGGTTTTGCTCAGATTTGAAAGATATTTGACAATTCATTTTAAGAAAGCAGATTTTTACGTCGATCATTGGCATATAAACTTTGTTCCCTGAACAGCTCAGCTCTGTAGAGCCAGTTTCAGTATTAGTTGACTCCCCGGAACCGACTTCATCTTCACTCCGAAAATCTCAATTTGACGAGGAAGTGCCACGCCTGCCACGCTTTGCGAACCCGAAACGGATAGGGAGACCACCCCCAGCGCACCCCCTGAGATGTCGAGGAAGTACCACGCCTGCCACGCTTTGCGGGCCCGAAACGGATAGGGAGACCACCCCCAGCGCACCCCCTGCGGCGTCGAGGAAGTGCAACGCCTGCCACGCTTTGCGAGCCCGAAATGGATAGGAATACCACCCCCGGCGCACCCCCTGCGGCGTCGAGAAAGTGCCACGCCTGCCACGCCCTGCGAGACTGGCACGCATAGAGGCCGCGCTGAGGGGCCACCCGGCACCTCCTCTGGTGACGAGAAAGCGCCGCGCCTGCCGTGCCCTGCGCCATGGCCCGCAAAGAGCCCCCTGCTACACTGTGCGATGGAGGAGGGGAGGAGGGAGGAGGGGAGGCGCGAGGAGACGCGGGCGCGACGCGGCAGGGAAGAAAAACAAAACTCCACCAAACATGCGCGGAAACAACAAGGAGGGGAAGAGTGAGGTGTGAGTGTCGCGGGTGCGGCGCGGCAGAGAAGAATGCCAGAACCCCACGAAACGCACGGGGAAAAACCTGGGCCGGCATCCGGCCGGCACCCGCACCGCGCCCCCCCACCGCGTCTGACACTCCGACCCTCCTGGATATTCTATCTGAGCCCGTCAAGGACCCCCACCCAACAAAAACCTGCGCCAGCACCCGGCCGCCACCCACACCGCGCCCTCCCGCCACGTATGACGCCCCCACCCACCTGGATTCTCTTTCTGAGCTTGTCAAGGACTCCCCGCCCAACAAAACCTGCGCCGGCACCCCGCGAACGCCCGCGCCGCCCCCCCCCGCCACGTCTGACACCCCCACCCTGCTGGACCCTCTTTCTGAGATTTCCAAGGACCACCCTGCAAAATACTGCGCTCGCCCAGGCAGGTCCGCGCCAGGGTCCGACGCATCGGCAGGCTCAGGCCCCCCGGCGCCCACTCTCGGCTCTCCGCCTCCAGCTCGCCCAGGCCCGCGGCCTGCTCGGACAAGATGCGATTGTAAGAGCCGGTTGACTCGTCGCCAATCACGAACTCGCACGCGCGCCGGGCCGGCGCGCTCGCGGGGCAGACTCCTGGACTTCTCCTCGGTAGCAAGACAGCCTCGAGGCCTGGACCTTCTGCCGGTAGCCCTCCCTGCCGCGCGGCTAGCGAGGCTTCCCCTGCCAGAGGTCCAGGGGCCGCAGCAGCAGGACGTTTTCCTGGGAAGGCCCCGCAACGGCTCCGGGATCTCGGCCAGCGTCGGGACGGGGCGGGGCCTGTGGCAGCGCTTGCAGGGCCGCGACACCGGCGCGAGGTCGGGCCAGCCCAAGCTCCTCTGCGTCAGCTTCTCCGGGGTGCGCATGCCGCAGCGCTCGCAGACAGACCGACTTCCATGGTGGAGCCAGGCCGCCCCGGCCCACTCCGCGGGAGACATCCACAGCGCGCAGGCCTCTGGGTTCGCCACGCCGTTGCGCCGCATCCAGCGGTGGACGCCCTGCGGGATCTCCCTCTCGCGCTGCTCCCCGTGGCCGCTCTTGACCCGGACGACGCTGCGGGAGACGATGCCGAGCAGCGCAGCCCGGGCGCGCCAAAAGGCAGCGACCTTGTCGCAGGTCCAACCGTAGAGCCCGCCGCAGCGTTGGCGCTCACGCGGCATGAAGGGCAGACAAGCGCCTCGGAAAAGAAGGTGTGACTCTGGCTGGAGGCAACCAGCGGCGCGGTTTCCTGGGCACACCCTTCGGCGGCGACCGCCGCGGGTTTCGGGGAGACCCCTTCCGCCACGCATTTGGACGCCCGAAATGGGTACGGAAAGAATGGGCACAATGCCCAGCAACAAATGTTGTCCCAAACCAGCAACGGCCGCTGTTGGGCAGGCGGCCCTCTGTCTTGAATGGACACAGGCCGCGGCGGCGTGGACAGCGAATCCAGTTCAAAATGAAAAGGAACTGCTGTTGAGCATTGCACCCATTCTTTCCGCACCCATTTCGGGCGTCCAGAACGCAGGCACGACAGCAAAACCAAGGAGCGAGCGGATCGCCGAAGACCTTCAGCCGAAACGGCCACGGAGACCTGCCCGAGGGAGAAGCGCGGACACCCACGAGGTTGCCACTTACTGAGTATCAGAGCTGGCTATTTTCGTTTTTCGAGCGTCGTCCACAAGATCGCCGTGCCGACTGGACCCGCTGACCGGGGGGGACCATGGAAGAATCAGGACTGCACACCAGGACGAAACTGATAGCAACCTCGCCTTCTAGAACGGGTGGTTCACAAACCGAGATTGCATCGGAATTTGGTCAAGAGCCCCTAAAGGGGGAACCTATGCCACAACCTTGGAACGGCTCCAGAATGCGGAGGTTTGGACCTGCGGGCCTGCCAGGGAAGGCCCAGACCAGGATGCCCCGGGAGAAGGAGAGGACACGTTCCCCGACGGAGCGGGGGGCGTGGAAGGTCCGCGGAGCACTCGGGGCTGGAAGCCACGCCGAATTGCGAGCGACCTCGGCTTACAGAGCGGGCGGTGTGCGGACCGAGGTTGCACTCCTTTTCCTCCTCACTCCTTTGCACGGTTCGGCCGTCCCCCTCTTTGCTGCCGCACTTCCCTGATCACCTCAACTCGCCTGGACATCGTTTCTGGATGGGCTGGTGGGGATATTTGTTGGTCGCGACCGCAGGCGAGAGCGCCGACGGCGAGTAGGGTCGAGCGGGCACGCGCGAGCCGAATTGCCTAACGCCGACGGGCCGGCGGCCTAAGCAGCACCTAAGCGGGCCGGTCAGCGCGAGGGGGTGCGGGCTGCAGCTGTCAGGAACCAGGTCGGGGGAGCCGCAATCGACTACCCCCCCTCCCGCCCCAAGAGGACCCCAAAAGCACCCCAAGAGGCCCTGGGGGCCCCCAAGACGCCGCCAAGGAGACCCAAAAGACTCCCAAGAGGTCCCCAAGAGGCCCCCAAGAGGCCCTAAAGAGGGCTCCAGGGCCGGCGGAATGAGCGAAGCGACTAAATAAGTACAGTTTGGTTTGGGTTTGTAATGAAATTACACCAGAGCAATCAGTGGATGGTTTGAAAACTAGTGAGGTGGACATCGAGGACGATTGTAGGATCGATACGGAGATCGAAAGTGGGATCGAAAGTGAGGGCAATTGTAAGGCCGATCGTCAGACCGAAAGTGAAGTCGATTCAGTGAGATCGATCATGAGATCGCTCGTGCGATCTCTAGTTAGATCGATTGTGAGATCGACAGTCAGGGCGATTGTGAGAACCTCGCCTCGGCAACCCCACAAATTATGGCAATGGAGCGAAGCTTCCGCGCGTTGAGCGGAAGTTCAAGCTCAAGCTAAAAGAGAAATTACAAAAAAATGGAGCGAAGCTTCCGCGCGTTGAGCGGAAGTTCGAGCTCAAGCGCATACAGCTGGCCTTCAAATAACTTGGATCGAAAATGGAGCGACGCTCACACCGAAGGCAGAACATCAAGCTCAAGCTAATGTGAAGGGGAGCCCCAGGTTACCGTGGGCCTGCAGAAAGTGGGTCTCCTTTCTGCGGTCCAGGCGGCGCAAGAGCACCGCTCCCCTCGGATCCTGGAAACCATGTAGAGCAACTACATCGCACTTACATATCCAGGGAGTCGGAGACCTCGGGCCCATGGAGGCATGAGGCAAACAACGGATCATACGAGGAGGGCGGAGGGAGGAACGCAGAATACCCACCCGACAATTCCCACCCGATAACTCCTGGCCCACCCTGACCCTTCACTTGGCGCCCCACCTGGCCCCCCCGCAGCTCGCCGCGCCATTCTCATACCCCGGCTTCTTGTTCTGGGGGGCACCCACTGGACAATTCCTGGACCAGAAGGCCCGAAGAACCGCCACGATGGCGGAAGATGGCCACATGTGGCCCACGATGGCCTCCACGATGTTTCGACGATGCCCCACCCAGATGGCCTGAAAGACTGTCCAAGATACTGTGAAGGCGGTCTACAATTATGTTACTCCAATCGTACTTCAGGACCACATGCCAGAAATAATTTCGAACACCCGGAAAAATGTCGAACGGGTGCTGAAACAATTTCGAAACAGTGCTGGACGAGTGCCTCCCAGGGCCCGACACGTGAAAACCTTAGAGTTTTGGTGCTTTTCTGGAGCTCGAGATTCCTTCTGGTGGTCAAGGCGAAAGTCGGTTGGAACGTCAGAAATCTACAAGGGCTCGAGGACAATCTCCAGCCAGGCCTGAAGATGCCCGAAGCACCTGGAATGATCGGGAGTGTCCCCCATACAGGGGGATGTTGGGCGAAAAATGTGTAAAACAGGCGTTTTGTAAAAAAACTCAAAAATGCTCCAACATAGTCCAAACATCGTCCGCGCATTAGGTTTTGACTATGTCTGAACATCCCTCCTGTAGAGGGACAGACCCGACTTCATCCTGCGAACCTTCAGATCCGTTCCCCGAGGGATAGCTGCGCGGCGCGTCAGGGAGCGAGGAGAGGAGGGAGATTATAGGAAGGCCTCAGGCTCCGCGTCGTGCTAGATCTCCGCGACCTGCTCCGACTCGTTGTACTCGTTGTCCTTAACTTCCGCGTTGTCAATGCCGCGCTCGAGTCTTGGGCTCCTGCCACGTCTGCGCTTCACCAGGCATCCCAGCGCGACGCAGCAGACCAAGAACAAGATCAAGACACCAGCGAAGACTGCAATTAATCCCCATGGCTCGGTGGTCGCTGTGGTGTTTGACGTGTCCGAACTCATGCCCGTATCGGTGGTCGTCGTGGCCGTCTTGGTGGTCGTCGCGGTGGTCGTCTCAGTTGTTGTCTCGGTGGTTGTCTTGATGATGGTAGTAGTGCTTGACGCCGCGGAACTCGTGCCCGTATCGGTGGTCGTCGTGGCCGTCTTGGTGGTCGTCGCGGTGGTCGTCTCAGTTGTTGCCTCGGTGAAGTCGAACACGTACGCGGAGCCTGAATTGGTGCCCTGGTCGTCGTCATTCAGGCCCCCACCACCACGCGGGCCCCGTCGGAGCTCACGGCCACCGAGTACCGAACTGGTCTCCTGCGGCCCCATCACTCGCCACAAGCTTGAGCAGCCTCTCGCCGGTGGTACCGTTGAACACGTACGCGGAGCCGAAAGCGGTGCCCTGGTCGTGTCATAGAAGCTCCCCACCACCACGCGGGCCCCGTCGGAGCTCACGGCCACCGAGTAACCGAACCTGTCGAGTTGGGCCCCATCACTCGCCACAAGCTTGAGCAGCCTCTCGCCGGTGGTACCGTCGAGCACGTACGCGGAGCCTGAATAGAGCCCTGGTCGTCGTCTTGGCAGGCCCCCACCACCACGCGGGCCCCGTCGGAGCTCACGGCCACCGAATTACCAAATTTGCTGTATGCGGCCGCATCACTCGCCACAAGCTTGAGCAGCCTCTCGCCGGTGGTACCGTCGAACACGTACGCGGAGCCTGAATTGGTGCCCTGGTCGTCGTCACCAGTGGCCCCCACCACCACGCGGGCCCCGTCGGAGCTCACGGACACCGAGTAACCGAACGAGTCGCCCGAGTAACCGAACGGTCGCCCGGCCCCATCACTCGCCACAAGCTTGAGCAGCCTCTCGCCAGTGGCCCCGTCGAGCACGTACGCGGAGCCTGAATTGGCGCCCTGGTCGTCGTCACCAGTGGCCCCCACCACCACGCGGGCCCCGTCGGAGCTCACGGCCACCGAGTCACCGAAATAATCGCCTGCGGCCCCATCACTCGCCACAAGCTTGAGCAGCCTCTCGCCGGTGGTACCGTTGAACACGTACGCGGAGCCTGTATTGGTGGCCTGGTCGTCGTCATAGACGCTCCCCACCACCACGCGGGCCCCGTCGGAGCTCACGGCCACCGAGTAACCGAACAAGTCGAATTGGGCCCCATCACTCGCCACAAGCTTGAGCAGCCTCTCGCCAGTGGCCCTGTCGAGCACGTACGCGTAGCCAAACTGACTGCCCAGCTCGTCGTCACGCGGGCCCCGTCGGAGCTCACGGCCACCGAAGTACCGAACTGGCTGTAGGCGACCCCATCACCCGCCAAGAGCTTGAGCAACTGCGCGCCGCTGGTAGCCTGGCGCCTGCCGAACTCTGCCTGCGGCTCGCGAGGGCGACCGCTCGCCGAACCCCCCAGCCTCGGGCGGGCCAGCGCCCCGCTCGCCGGCGACCCGGCGCTCGGGGCGCCGCGCGCTACCAGCAGCAGGAGCAGCGCGCCGACGCTGTGGGACGTGCGACGGCGCATCATGCCGTCTGCAGATGGCTGACAGAAACGAAAGACGCCCGAAGGGAACCCTGGGAGGCCGGCGACGGCCCCTCGGAACCTTGAGCCAACATTGTTACGGACCTTCCGTTTTTGGTTTTGGTTTTTTCCACAAGAACTACCCCTGGCGCTTCGGCCCGCCCCGCCGGCCACTCGAAAGGGGGCTCCAGGAGCTCAATCCCAGAAGAATCCCCCAAGACGGCTCAAGATGGCCTCCAAAAAAGCCTCCAAGTCCGCCCAATATGGTCCAAGATGGCCTCCAAGACGGCCCGAGAATCCAAGATGCCTCCAGTTCGTCCAAGAAGCCTCCAAGACGCCAAGATCGCCCAGGAGCCCTTCAAGATGTCCCCATGACAGCTCAAGAGGCCCCCAAGAGGGCCCAAGAAGGCCCCGACGGCCCAAGAGGCCTCCAAGACGCCTAGGCTGCCTCGAAGACCGCCCTGACACGGCCCATGGGGGCCTGAAGTCGGCTCCGAAAGGCCTCAAAGACGGTGTCGGACGGCGTCAGATGGGCCAGGAACGCTCGAAGACGACGAAAGACTTCCTAAAGGAGCCCCCAAAGGTCCCCAAGAAGACCAAGGAGGCCTCCCGAGAAACATTCAAAAGGTCCACAGGAAGTTCCAGGGAGTTCAGGTCGCGTCAGGGATACCTGGAGACCGCGTTCGTCAGGAAGTGACCAGTCAGTCCCCAGCTCATCCTGGAGTGACCCTGGGAGACGAGCGTTCCTTCGATTCGAACGTTCCATCCTCGGAGACCCTCCTGAGACCCCTTTTTCACCCCGAGGCGAATCGAGCCAGGCCATAATCGAAGTCCTGCTCGAGTCGAAGTGAAGCCCCTCTCCCTTTGATCCCTGCCCCGCCTGGGGGTGGGGGGGGGTCCTGGGAGGGGGTCCTGGGAGGGGGTCCTGGGAGGGGGTCCCCGGGGGAGGGGTCCCGGGTCAGAATGCAACCGATCCCTTCCGTTTTCGGGTCGCCTTCGAAGAAGTTTGGCCCTCTGTCGGCAATTCAGGCCCATGAGAATCCAAGAGAGGCCTGAAAGATCGCTCCAAGACTCCCATGTCGCCCCCCAAGACGGCCGAAGAGGCCTCCAAGACGGCCCAAGAGGCCTCCAGGAGCACTCCCATAAGTGCCTCACGAGGCACAAATCATAGATTCGCTTAGTGGTTTGAAGGATTTGGCCGTTCTGGACTTTTCGGCTTCCCGACGCACCAAGACGGCCCAAAAGGCACCCAGGATTGCCCCAAGACGGCCCAAGAGGTCTCCAAAATGGCCCCGCAACGGCCAAAGAGGGCCCCAAGACTGCTCAAGGCGGCCTCCAAGACGGCCCAACAGCCGGCCATAACGGCTCCCTGAACCAGATCCTGGAGGCCTAAAGCGGAGAGAAACCTGCAAGATATCGAGAATCGACGAAACTCGACGAAGAATGGCCCACGAACCGAGGAGGAGGAGGAGGAAGAGGAGGAGGAGGAGCAGCATAACGAGAACGAGGACTAGAAAATGGAGAAAGAGGAGAAGGAGGGGGAGCCCGAATCAAGTGAAAACCTCCGAAGATCACGAGCGAGACCGGACGGCACTGCACCCACCGTCCTCCTCCTTTTCTTCATTCTCTTCATCCTCCTCGTCATCCTCCTCCTCCTCCGCGTCATCCTCCTCCTCCTCGCCCTCCAGCTCTTCTTCCTACTCTGGTTCCTCGTCGTCGTCGTCCTCCTCCTCCTCCTCCTCCTCCTCCTCTTCCTCCTCCTCCTCCTCCTCCCCCCTCTCCTCCTTGACATTCTTTCCAAGGTTAGCGGAGCCGGCCGTAGAGCCTTTGCAATATCCTTCAATCGTCGAAGCATTTCCGCATCAACGCGCTGTTCGTTTTTCCCCAAACAGCTTGCTGAACGGGGTGCTGTTGTTCCCCAAACTGCTTGCTGAACGGGGTGCTGTTGTGATGAAAGCTAACTCCGGCCGAGGGAAAGGGGAGCAGAGACATCCTCACAAAAATCTGATGGTCCGGGCCGTTTCGCTTGAGACATCCTCACAACTCTGGTTTCTGAGTTGGCCGGGATTGGCCGTTTCGCCTGAAACATCCTCGAAAAGTTGCGCTCCAGGACGCCGCGCGAGAGGTGGTCCAGGCCGTTTCGCTTGAGACATCCTCGAAACTCTGAGCCCCGAGGTGCCGTGCGAGAGGTGGTCCGGCCCGTTTCGCCTGAGACATCCTCCAAACTCTGAGCTCCCAGATGCCGCGCGAGAGGTGGTTCGGCCCGTATCGCCTGAGACATCCTCCAAACTCTCAGCTCTGAGATGCCGTGCGCGAGGTGGTCCGGCGCGTTTCGCCTAAGAGATCCTCGCAACTCCGAATTCTGAGATGCCGCGCACGAGGTGGTCCAGCCCATTTCGCCTGAGACATCCTCGAAACTCTGGGCTACGAGATGCCGCGCAAGAGGTGGACCGGCCCGTTTCGCCTGAGACATCCTCCAAACTCTGAGCCCTGATATGCCGTGTGCGAGGTGGTCTTGCCCGTTTCGCCTGAGACATCCTCCAAACTCTGCGCTCTCTGATGCCGCGCGAGAGGTGGTCCGACCCGTTTCGCTTGAGACATCCTCCAAACTCTGAGCCCCGAGATGCCGCCCAAGGGGTGGTCCGGCCCGTTTCACTTGAGACATCCTCCACTTTTGCATTCTGAGATGCCGCGCGAGAGGTGGTCTGGCCCGTTTCGTTTGGCCCGTTTCGCACAAGACATTCTAGCAACTCTGAGCTCCCAGATGCCGCGGCGCAAGAGGGATGGCCCAGACTGGGGGCCCAGAAGACCACATGTTACATATCCCCCCTGGGAGCCCCAAGAGGCCTCAGAGAGCTTCAGGAGGCCGCAGGACGCCCAGGACAGGCCCCAGGGGTCCCCAGGCAGGAGGCTCCCAGGAGACCCCCTATCAGAACGTGTCAAGTTAATACACATCCGGTGTAGATTCGTTGATTTTTCCTGCTCTTGTGGCCCCCCCGCAGTTTGGGGGGCCCAGACGGCCACCTGTTAGATATCCCCCCCTGGGAGCCCCAAGAGGCTTCAGGAAGCCCCAGGTGGGGTCCAAGAGGCCACAGGAGGCCCAGGAGGAAGCCCCACAAGGTCCCCAGGAGGCCCCAGGAGGCCCCCGCAACTCGGAGTTCTGAGACGCCGCGCTCGAGGTGGTCCGGCCTGTTTCGCATGAGACTTCCTCGCAACACGTCTCGCCCGAGACATCGTCGCAACTCTGGGGTCCGAGATGCCGCGCGCGAGGTGGTCCAGCCCGTCACGCTGGAAACATCCTCGCAACTCTGGGTTCCGAGATGCCGCTCGGGGTGAAGAGGAGGTGGAGGAGGAGGAGGAGGCATGTTCTAACACGCCATGCCAGCCCGCACTGGACGGGCACGCAATCGACTTTGAAAACCGCAGTGGGTGCAAAAACCGTGTTTGGGGATACTGCACTCTGGCAATCATTTTTGTTCGCGGAGGAGGAGGAGGCTCAAGACGGACTAGGAGGCCTCCAAGATGACCCCACCACGGCCCAAGAGGGCCTCGAGTTGACCCAACAGGCCTCCACGACGGCCTCGAGACTCGAGACAGCCTAGAAGCCCCTGGACAGCCCAGGAACGAATCCGCAGCTCATCGCACGGGGCCCGCGGCGGCAGCCCTTAGATTGGACAGATAATATTGGATTGCCTCCAAATCGCGAGCATAAAGCCTGCGAGGCAAAAGCGGGGAAGAAAAAAGGAGAAGCAGGAGTACAAATAATGGAGGGGAAGAGAGCGAGCTACTGAAGGAGCAGGTGCACGTT